CGCGGATAGTTGAGCAAATAAAATCAGATGATCTGTAACTACATCCTTATCTTAGCAAAGGGTAACGCTTTTAAAAAAAATAGTTTATTTCTTTTTAGCATGCTAAGAAGGGGCTCTACATGTGTGAGACAATTTGGTATCGATATATTTAATGCCGAAAACGAGATTCTGAACTTCAAATCTTGCGGATTACAGAAAAGCAACGGAGCAGCCCGAAAACTCTTTCTTGACATTTTAAAATGGAAAAATCTAGTTACTATCCTTTCACTCTGAGTTGCTGGTATACCGTCATTTCCCGGACGAAAAAACGCAGCTGCATTCCGAGATTGCAAAATCGATCCAAGCAATTCAAGTATGTACATGGAAAAAAGTAAATGCTGATTTAGCATTTAAAATGTTAAAAAAAAGCCCATCAAGTTTCAAATGCTGATTTTACGATACAAAAATGCTAACACAACATTTGAATTTGTTCGTTTTACAGCGAGCGTAGTTAAGTTAGCATTTCTTCAAATGTAAATTCAGCATTTGAAACTTGTTGGACATGTTTCTAACAATATAAATGCTAAATCAACATTTAATTTTTTTCCGTGTACCTCCAAAGATGTACCTATGCGATTTTTGTCCGAAATTTTTCTGATTTCTGTTCGAGATCAGGAGAAAAATTAGTGAAATTTCAAGTTAGAAGTGCCCGAGCTTCTCCTTTCTCTTGGTCAAAAAGCAACTTCCAAGCAGGGGAACTGAAATTAACACTGAAATGGATTCACGTTTTTCTGTGAAGCAAACGACGATATGGATGAGCAAATGGAGGAAGTGGAATGGTGGCCTGGAATGAAATCCAACTTTTACTCTCAAACTTTACATTTATTTTACTTAGTGCTTGGCTTCTACATTGTCATTCCTAAAGTTATGGAGAATTAAAAAAAATTTAGGAAAGATTTTAAGGTAATCTGAAAAAATTTTAACCATGGGCAGATTCAGACATATATGTCGGTGGAGGGAGGGTTAGGAGGGCTTCTCCCAAACATTTTTCAAAATTTTAAAAAATTAAATTTGCAGTTAAGTTTCGACATGAAAAATTACCAATTTTAAGCGTCATATTTCCTCTTACCTCCGTTTCTTTCTTCTTTCTTTCATCCCTTCCCTACGCTCCTCCCTCCATGAGTCCGCCTATGATTTTGAACTTGCTTCAAATCGGAATTTCGTGTGTGAAAGTGGGTCTTGAAAATGTTCCGCATCCGTTTTCCGCGGTGTGAATGACCCCGGATTCCATGAAAACGTCACATTTGAAACTTGATTTAAAAGCCTGGCGGCGAGTGAGGCGCTGCAAAGGTGCGGCTGGCGGCGATGAAGTCTCCAAGACGACCGCAGTTGCAGCCGTTAGACTCGGCACAAACGCTACGAGAGCATTCGAATGTAGCCAAATTTCTGCCGAAAAATATTTAATTTTCAGAATTATTGCGCACTTTTTGAAATATTCAAGTAAGCCGTAGGAAATTGCGACTTTAATGTAACTCAAAATTCAAGCAAATATTCAATGAAAAGTTATTCAAAAACTGATTGCGGTGGACGCACGGGTCGTAAGACAGTATGTTGAAGTTGGTCGTCACTAGTGTTGCACCAAACAGCATATCTCTTCGAGGGAACATTGTGCTCATGTGAGGTTTTTCCTTCTGTGTGGAGATTTTTAGCTTTAAGCTGAATTTTTTAACGCACGTTGGCTAATAAACTCCAGCATACTGAAAAAATATTCTTAAAATTGGTGATTTGTGTTAACTTGATCTCAATTCCAAGAACCGCATCCGATAGACGATAAGAGAGTTGATTTTAGTCCGTGAACTTTGGAGGAAAATCTTATTTATTACAAGGAAATCCAGAAGAAAACAATTATAAATCCTGAGCCTTCCAGCAGGGAATTTTCTCGTGAAAGTCAAGTACATCAGGGGCTTTCCAAGAAACGGAGAAAATTGAAAATCCCAGACACTTTTTTTGCAGTGTTTTCCAGAAGGGAATTTTCCCTTAAAAGTCACGAAAATCGGGGGTTTATCAGGAAATGGAGAAAATTGAGAATTCTAGACACAGTATTTTTCTTGGTTTTTTCAGCAGGGAATTTTTCCGCGAAAATCGGGAAAATCAGGGGTTTATAAAAAAATGGTGAAAATTTCAATTTCTAGGAGGGAATGCCCGAGCGCCACCCTCCAGGAGGTAATCTACTCGTGAAAATCAAGAAAATCGGGAAAATCAGGGGCTTTCAAAAAAATGGTGCAAATGACAATTTCTAGGAGGGAATGTCCAAGCGGCACTCCAGGAAGGAATCTACCCTTGAAAATCAGGAAAACCAGGGGGTTTATCAGGAAATGGAGAAAATCAAGAACTCAGACATTGTGTTTAAAGTAACTTAATTTCCAGTACACTGGAAAAAAAACATATTGGATCTAGAGTCCAGACTCTTAAAAACATCGACAAAAAAAAAATACTCTTGATTCAATCGGATCTAAGCTTAAATCAAGAACCCAGCCTCTTAATTCGAGCGGATTTCCTTTTGATTCAAGCTTGAATCTGATTGAATCAAGAACATTTTTTCTTGTCGATGTTTTCACGAGTCTGGACTCTAGATTCAATGTGTTTTTTTTTTTTCCAACGTAGGGAAATTTTCCAGGAGGCCCGCATCTCACCTGAAAAAAATTCGGCAACGTGCGGGATGCATACGACGTTCTCCCCGAAACGCGAGAGTAGTCGCAGCGCGCGCCCGGCTCACGCCTGCGATCTACATTTCCCTCGGGTTTCATTTGTCACGGAGCAGCTTTGTTTTGTCAAAGCCACGACTCCCCCGCCGACGCAGCAGCGCCAGGATGAGCCGGCTCCGTTCCCCGGCTCCCGCGGAAATTATGACGGGGAAAAGAAGCGCTCAAAAATGAAAAACGCCCCCTTAATATCCTCCCCCGATAAGAACACCTTGCCTCTCTCCCTATTTTTCACGGCGCCGCTTTCCGTTTCAATTTGCGACGACATCGCATCGCATCGGTCCCGGCCGCCGGGCGAAGATCAAAGGAACTTGTCTTCGCCCGAAGGACCTATATCCATCCTGACGTGAGCCCTAAGATTCATAAGAATACACGCATGACAGGGCTCACGTCAAAATGGGCGCAGTTCCTTTCGGTCTGAATGCGTCCGAGTCGTGGCCCAGTTCGAGCGAGGAATACAAAAGAAGACTCTTATCGAATGAGCCCACACATGGGCGTATTTAAATCGAAAGGGACTATCTGTGTTGTGGGATGAGCCTTGAGACCCATTAGGATACGGGAGGAACACGTCACGATGGAGATAGTTCCATTTGATTTAAAAACGTCCACATAATACGGGTGCGAGGAAGAATACTTAGTGGACTCTGATGTATGGAGCTTCGTGCTCGTGGAAGAGCTTTTTTGGGAGTGCACTTATGAGGTTTTGCACCGAAAAGGCGCTCGATTCATCCGTGAGATTGGGTCGAGGAGATTTGACCCAGAATTTCGCAGGATGGAGTTCTCGCATGCAGCGGGGGTTTTCGATTTGATGATCTACTCGTCTGTGAAATGTCGTAACGGCACTATGCTGCCGGAATGCACTGATTTTTCTCTAAAATCATCCTCCAAGCTTTATACCAAACCTCTTAAGTTGTACACTGTAAAAAATCGAGGGGTGAAATTCGGTGCAGGACTCTGTACATAATGCGCCCAAAAATACTGAGGAATAAAAGTGCGAAGTGAAATTAGCACCATGAAAGCGTATGACACACTAAGAAAAAAACACATTGGATCTAGAGTTCAGACTCTTGAAAACATCGACGAGAAAAAATACTCCTGATTCAATTTTACTTGAATTACGATTACGATTTTTACTTGAATCAAAACGAAATCCGCCTAAATTAAGAGGCTTGGTTCTTGATTTAAGCTAGATTCTGATTGAATCAAGAGTTCTTTTTCTTGTCGATGTTTTTAAGAGTCTGGACTCTAGATCCAATGTGTTTTTTTTTTCCAGTACACTCCGCAAAAAGAGTATATTCCACTCCGTAATAGTGTAAGTCATTCCGTAAAAAGAATGGAATCCGCTCCGATTGCGTTTCACTCGGGATTTTTCGGCGCTGTACAGTCTGCGACACAGAATTTTACTCCAACATTTTTAACAGTGTATAGTAGAGAAGCGGGAGTGCTCTAATAAAAAGTTTGCGTCCATTTCTAGTCAGAATTTGAATTTTCGCAAATGAATTTGGAACCCAAAAGACAAGGTTGCATCCTACGAGGATAAACCTCAAAATGCTTTTAATTCTGTAACTTGATGACTATAAGTCAACATTCGCATTCAACGTTAGTGCACCTACATGTAAAAACTGAATTGCATATTGTTTCCACGCTCGATGAAATAACTCAATATTCCAGTGGAATATGAAAGCTTAACCCCAGTTTACGAAACATTTTTAAAGTATTCACATAATATCAAAAATTTAAGCCAATGCTAATCTATTTCCAGCGTAGAGAGGACGGTGTTTCATAACTTGCCCCTTGATGCAACTATACGTACGCGTAGGATATTTGAAGTATAACCAACCATTTGAAGGCGCATTTTCTGCCGATGCCTTCTATGAGCCTTGACTGATTTACTACTTCTTCTTTACATAAACTCATTCTTTCATCACATGCATGTATTGTGCAGCTTGTACGTAATGAGTTGAGAGACTTGACTGATTTTATCTTTTACTAAGAAGATTTAGTCTGAAAAGATCAAAATTTGCGCCATGCTAGATTCTTTCGCTAATTCTCAGATTTTCGTACGCTTTTCCTAAAATATCCTTGATCCGGTAAAGACGGTTTTACACAGATCAGGAAGATGCTGATCGCTATCCCTCCGCTCTCCTTCTTAACGGTAGAAATTAGAATCAATGATACATGTATACAATTATTTCAGAACCATAAGTTATATGCAACTGACACACAGACCTAATAAACGGACATTCACAAACTATCAAGTAATTTTCCGTACTGATTTTATTCAACATGAAAGTGTTTGATGGAGTGTTATAGTGAAACAAGCGTGTACTTGTATATAGTTTGCCATTGAATAATTTGAAATCAAAATTACATAGTAAACTTGAACTAATTAAAATAGCTTAAGTGAATGAAATACAGAGAACAGAATAGAGGGAGAAACCTTTTGGCATGCAGATCAAAAAGTTGGCATTTCAGTTATACGAAAGAGAATTCTTTCTCCCTTTTTTTCAATTGAAGCGGTAGAATTTTTAAACTTCAAGATCATAAGTGAAATATGCTCAAAATTTCCCTATTGAACAGCAGTGCGGTGCCCTTTAAGCATTCAATTTTTATTATTACATAGTCATGCCTGCGACATTGACATAAAAGCAACATTGCACCTGCATCTAGGATAGCAGGTAAGACCTGGAATCCAGTTTTAGCATTGTAAGAGTCGCGATTCATTTTTTTCCCGTGTTGAACCAAATCGTCCAGTATTCACCCATTGCCATATTCATCCAATGGACCAATTGCACTGGCAACAGGATCGTGTTTTGATGTTTGTTCCCTATAGATTAGCTACAAATAAGAAAATCTGCCCGAACGGCAACTTTCTACGTTGAATATTAACCGAGATATCGTCCTTTGAAAAGTCGGGTTTTTGACGTCATCCAACGCAGTAGTGTATAACATGGTATGTGTATTACCGCGTTGGAAGACGTCGTAAATCGAGTTTTTCAAGCCGCGATATCTCGGTTAATATTCAACGCAGAAAGTTGCAGTTTGGACAGATCTTCTTATATTTTTAGCTAATCTGCAATAATAAAGCATCAAAACACGATTCTATGACCAGCGCAACTGACCCATTAGCCTAAATGACGAGCCACCAGAAGCTCCTTAGAGATCCGCGATGTTCCGTCAGCCATCACGCTGATCGGACGAATCCGCCCATGTCGCATCGTTTGAATGTCAGTTAAGGTTCCTTCTGAATTCACTCCAAGTGTCTCTCTTGGCCTCTTCCGTGGGTCTTGAACCAGCCACCAGAAGCTCTGTGGAGATCTGCGACGGAGGAGCGTGGAGATCAAGCCATCACGCTGATTGAACGATCCGCCTCTGTCGCATCGTTTGAATGTCAGTTAAGGTTCCTCCTGAACTCACTCCAATTGTCCTCCTTGGCCTCTTCCGTGGGTCTTGAACCAGCCGCGAGAAGCTCCGTGGAGATCTGCGACGGAGGACCGTGGAGGTCAGCCATCACGCTGATCGGACGATTGGCCTCTGTCGCATCGTTTGAATGTCAGTTAAGGTTCCTCCTAAACTCACTCCAAGTGTCCTCCTTGGCCTCTTCCGTGGGTCTGGCGCTCCCGAAGAGGTCCTTGGGCTCGGCAGCCGGCGCGGTCGGGCTCGGCGCTGGGATGGGCGTGATCTTACACATGAGTTTGAGCGGTTTCGCGGCCGCCGGCTTGCAGCCCGTCTTGCAGCCGCTCTTGTGGTTGGACGGACACGGCTGAAATATGAAGGACTGCGGCTGCGTCTGGCACGGCTCCTGGCGCCGCTCGCGCTGCTGACACGGGTTCTGCTCGAGCGGGCGGCAGATGAACTTGTTGGGGCAGTTGGGCAGGGCCTCGCAGGTCATGGGCACGCAGCCGGGGCCGTTGGGGAACTTGATGCACTCGAGCAGGGGCTTCCGAGAGCAACAGGAGTTCGAGCGGGGTTTTGGCTGGCACGGCTGGACGCAGGCCTGCGTGCAGAAAACAAATCAATAGATTTTGACCGTCCCACAGTGAATCGAGTCAATTCTACTGTGCTAAGGAAAAACGTGTGTAAAAAATGTATGAACATTCGAGAGCTGTAGAATTTCCTTCACTAAAATGCACTATCTCGCGGTGAATGACGTCATAAGCGGTATGCTTTAATGAGCGATATCTTCGTCAATATTGAGCCTAACGCTTGAACTGGTCCTCTTATGTTTTGCTGATCTACAAGTTGAAATCATCAATCCACGATTTTATAACTACCATAACTGCGAGCTGATTGTTAAAATCGATAGACAAAGCTATAGACAAAGAAGACAAAAGGGATATGGAGGGATCCCATTGGTTGAAGCGGGTGGTCGCAATGGACAAAGGGGGTAAATTTTAGTCTAACTAACGGCAACCTACGAGGGGCGAAATAGTAAGTCTATAATATTCTCCCTTAGCCATAGGAGCCAACCATTTCAACCAATAGGATCGCTCCATTTTTCTTATGTCAACTTTGTATATAGCTTTGTCTATCAATGTCAACAATCAGCCCGCTGACCCACACGTAGAAAAAAACTTCGTGCTTGGGACCCGAAGTTGAGGTCATATGGATCTCTGAAGTTTTCGGATCACGTATCTAAAATCTCGAGGTCCAGCTACCGAAGTCTGACCCGAACTTCGGCAGCTCGACCTCAAGTTTTCGCATGCGTGATCAGAAAGCTTCAGAGATCCATATGACCTCAACGTCGGGTACCATGCACAAAGTTTTTTCCTCCGCACATGCAATATGATTTTCTGGTATGGTGATGTGCTTCACCAACCATATCACCTGGTTCATGATCAGGACTTCCTAAATTTAGCTCAAGCACGATTTTCTGAACAATACCTGCGACGGGCAGGCTTGTAGCTGGGGCTGCTGGCACGACGCCCTGCGCGGCTGACAGCGACAGCAGTTCTGTCCGGCCCCGTCCTGCGGGATGTAGCAGACGATGCACTCTTCCTTCCGCTTGCATTGCGTTTGTTGCGGACAGCACCTGGTCTGTTGTTGCCGTTGGTTGTTGCAGGTGGTCTGTTGTTGCCGTTGCTTGTTGCATGAGCACGCGCCGCCGGCTATGCGCGCGCACGCCGCTCGCGGATACTCCGGCTCCTGCAGCCCCTGGCAGAAGTCGAGCGAGTCCGTCTGCGGGACCCCGAAGCAGCCGCAAGTCAGGGCTCGCCCGCCTCCGCACATCCCTTGACACCGGTGCGGTTGCGACATTCAGGATTTTCTGTCGCCTCACTCGTCCTCTATCAACGTCGTTTCCATGGTCGACCTGTGTAACTTTTTAGGTTGAAAGGGTGCTTCACCATCGCCTGCTTCCACTGCAGCGATTACACCCTGGAATTTTGCAAAAAAAGTTGATTAATTGGACGGAGTTAAACAGAAAGGAACCAAGCCACATCGGGATCGAACCGAGAAAAAGAGGTTTAAAGTTCGGCTCCTGCATAAGACTCAATGTAAACGAAAAACTTCAAGTTCAATTTCTGCAAAATTTGCTCCAACAAAAACTTTGAATTTTTGGCGATAGATAGTAGAGCAGTGGTTGAGTTCAAAACCACTCCTAATTCAATTTTTTCCAAAATGTGGGTTGGTTCTTTTCTGCTTAACTTAGTCCAATTATGAAACGCCAGTGACACTGGAGAAAAAACAAAAAAAAAAAACACATTGGATCTAGAGTTCAGACTCTTAAAAACATCGACAAGAAAAAATACTCTTGATTCAATCGGATTTTTGCTTAGATCAAGAACCAAGCCTCTTAATTTGAGCGGATTTCTTTTTGATTTAAGCTTAAATCTGATTGAATCAAGAGTCCGTTTTCTTGTCAATGTTTTCAAGAGTCTGGACTCTAGATCCAATGTGTTTTTTTTTTCCAGTGGACGCCCAGTTTACGCTACGACGTCATCGATAACTTGTGCGATGACGGCATTGATTGCTTACGCGATGACGTCATCCGTGGTTTCACTACCTGATGACCTCACCTAGATGTCATGGTGAAATATACAGATGTTGAATATGTTGGATTTTTGGAGTTGATTTCAGTAATTTTCGATGCAAGAATCGTGTTCAACGTAAAATTTTGGTTAAGGAACATATATCAGAATGCTTAACTTTGCACCTTGTCTAGTGGTCCATTGCGGAGCTGTCTAAATGCGCGAAGGCGCATTCAAAAATAAGTCCCCAGGACCTAACTCAATTATGGTCCCAGGATTAGCTAGGGAAAGATTATTCGGATACGATTAATTTCAGTCTCCTAAAACAAACTAAAAGGCGCAAAAAATAAAGCGCAAACGAAGGAGCCGCTGAAAAATTAATCCGGCGAAGCGGGCTCTAATCGCGCTCGGCTCACATCTCATTTCCTCCTCGCGAACTGCACGCGTCTCCATTCATTCATCTTTCGCCGAGATCGTTATCCAAATGACTAATTGAATGTCATCACGGTCGGAGCCACAAAAAATGACACTTCCGGTCCCCTTCTGACCCCTCGTGAACCCCCTCCGTGGGGCGCGGGGGCCCCGAAATAAACAAGCTTCCGCCGCGAGGCCACCGCCCTTGTTGCCATACAGCGCTGGAAATTAGCAATGAAGCTTTTGCATGAATCTTCGCAATTTCGCGAGAATCGCCACTGAAAAAAAATGGAAGATTATACCATACTCTGACACAGTGATATGATTATTATTATGGTAATAAACACCAGACTATATGGTAACATTTACAATATTATGGCAAGTATCTCCAGAGGTCTGGTGAATACTACTATAATTATGGTTATTTTCACTTAATAATATCATTTTGTTGGAGTTTTTTTCGCCAACGTGCGTTAAAAATTCAGCATTAAGCTGAAATTCTGAAAATTTAAGCTGAAATAATATCATCGTGTAAAAAATCAAGTAGTCTCATGGAAGATGTTACCATACTTTGTTTTCAGTGCGCGATAATGCCACTGGTTTTCTTTGATTTCAACTCTAAAGCTAAAGAAAGCTCTTAAACTTGAGGCCGTAATGGAGGGGAAATCCCACGCTACCCTAAAAGTCCACCTCTATATCAAGACAAATTGTCAATGAAACGACAGGGAGCAAATAAAGGCTAAAGGTAAAAGCTAAAGGTGGTAAGGAAAGAAATAACACTCGGAGGACGCTTTTAGATCACCTTTATGGGCAAGGTATCATACCGAACTGAAACTGAGAAATGAAAACTGGAGGAATCAAAACTTTACAAAACAGCTGACGCAAGCTAAAGGTGGTAAGGAAAGAAATAACACTCGGAGGACGCTTTTAGATCACCTTTATGGGCAAGGTATCATACCGAACTGAAACTGAGAAATGAAAACTGGAGGAATCAAAACTTTACAAAACAGCTGACGCTTTTCGCCAACAGCAAATGCATTAAGAGGGTTGCCACTCTATTTGGGGACTCCAAAACTGAAAACATGACAACCTTGCTAATGTATTGGCTTCCTATCTTTGCATGGAAAGTTTGACCAGATATAGAGGTGGACTCTTAGGGTAGCGTGGGATATCCCCTCCATTTTGGCCTCAACTTGAGAGCTTTTTTTAAGCTTGGGAGTTGATTTCAGAGAAAACCAGTGGCACAGTTTAGTTTCTTTCAAAATTTTACATAGGAATCAGTACTCAAATGGCGAATTCCTGAAACATGCAATAGCTCCATTCCTCGAATCGAAACCCATGTAAAATATCCACGTTTGGCAACGTTGGCCAAGACGCCGGTGAAGTCATTACCTCGCCTAGTTGAAATCCAGAGGACACTAAAGACTCACCCCACCCCGCTACAATTTATTCGGTTAATTACTGTCTGTTTATTTTGGCACTAACCGTGCACGGTCGAAATGATTTCAGAGGTTCTTGAACCACTGCAAAGACGGGAGTCTTGCGGGAGTTTTCTCGCNGTCAAAGAGACAGTAGGGGCTTAAAGAGCTGCACGTTTGCTAAAATGAGACGCAGGGAGGCATGGAAGAGAGATCAGCACTGCAGATCGTTTCTCAAATGGACGTACTTCTATCAAACGGAACTATGTGCATTAAGACATGAGTCCTGAGACCCATAAGAGTGCGTGCATAACAAGGCTCACGTCATGATGCGTATAGCTCCGTTTGATAGAAATACGTCCAACTATGATCTTTTGCGGAAAAAGGGACTCATGTTACGGGGACAACATTTTCAGTCGAGCCAATTTAGTTGCATTTGGGTTGAGGGACTGGATTTTATGATTTCTTTGGGAAACACTCTCAGGTGTTCTATAAAATTCGTCTTATAAATTTTGCAGACCAATTCATGAATTTCGTACTATGAACGTGGAGGCTAGGAATCTCAAATTGATTTTACTCAAAATTTCTTTTTTTTTAAATGCCAACTTTAGACGGCCATGAATTGGGTTTGTCTAACAATATGAGGCATATTTTTTCCAAAGATTATAGTGAATAATTTTCTAAATCTTTGTAGAAGGGGGCCTCTTTTCTCGCTTTACTGCAAAATTAAATATAGTTCATTGTCAACTGCTCTGCGTTTGAGAAATAGATTATAATTAATAACATTAAATTTTAAAAAAGCCGATGGTATACCGTCAAACGGTGATTCCGGCATGTCTGTTCCCCGTGTGTCCTAATTTTTCTATTTTTAAGTTTGTTCTTCCTCCTGAATTCTGAACTCTCCATTTTATTTCTTTCTCAAAATTTCTTGAGGTCTACTGTAGTTTCTTTTACAAACCTCCTTTTTAAATTTGTTATTTTTTTATTTAAAGAAAACAGATATAAAAAAGAGAAATACATTGATCATCCTTTCTCTACAGGCGTGAGCAACCCATGGTTGTATACATCCTTTTGTTCAATAATTTGTTCTTTCGTTTCATTTTTGCATTTTCCACTCGTAAAACCTAATCAAATGTTTTTTCTGTCTGTTTCAGGTGAGTTTCCAAATTACTTTGTAAATACGGCTCAAACTATCTGCTCAGTAAGATATATTTCAAGTAACTTTATCTCCTTCACGTATTTGCACTTTATGCAAATTGTTTTATTGTTCTCGCCAAGGTGGTTATTTTGGCAAAAATATCGAATCGTATACATTAAAGACTATAATCAAACTATATAAAGAAAAAACTCATAAAATTTCGGAACTTGACTCCTCAAAAACCTTTAAAATGCTCGCTTTAGGAAACGCTCTTCCGGGCATTTTTCAAGGAAAATTTACTTGTAAAATTTCAGGAAAATGTGAGTAAAAAATATTAAAAGCTCTTAAAATATTTCCTGCATCACTAAACAAAAATGCTGGAAAACTCATAAAAAAGTAGTCATCCTTTTAGAAGTAAATTTCAAGAAGAGTAAAATTGTATTCTTAAATAAATAGCCAAAATGGTTTCCCTAAAACGAAGTACTGAACAGTTTAAACATTTCTGAGAAATTTTTTGAGAAATTTTTTCTAAATGTGATTGCTACTTAGGTACTAAGCAAAGCGTAACGTATTTTTAAGAGGGTGCGGAGATCAAATGGATTGCATTTTGCAAAAAGGAACCACTAGCATTGGCAATGATGCTAAGATTGTGCAACTTCATCTTTTGCAATAAAATTGCGGAAATCGTGAAAAACTATGAAATTTAGATGGTAATTTTTGTCTTAAATTTACAGTTTTTAGCGAGTAAAATAGAAACTATTAATGGATAATCGGGTTTTTCCTCAGAGACAAAAGAAATTGCACAATCTTATCAACATTGCAATGCTACTGGTTCCTTTTTGCAAAATGCAATCCAAATCTGCGTGCGACGCGGTTGCGTGGCGCTAAGCTGCTGAGAGGATTTACAATTTCGAATCTCAACGTGACGCAATTTGCGAACGACCACTGGGGACCGTTCCTTCCTATAGTTAAATTATTGAGGTTTAAAAGTTTTTTCAATCGCCGTCCGACTCATAACGACGCAATTACCGCGTACGCAGACAAAATCCCTAATTCGAAAAGCGTTTAACAATACGGAAAAAGCATCACCTGCTATCCGGCGAGAATGATAATAGCGTCAAGTTGCAGTGAATGACGTCATGACGTCATCTTCCTCCGAGAGCGGGGCAGGGCGTCGGGGCGCACGTTCGCGGAGAAAGATTAATTTTTTCCGTTGTAAAATTGGCGCGGGCGATAATTGACTGGAAATATAACCTCTCGACGGAACCCGGGTTCCTTTAATGCATTTTTTCTGTCTCTCTCGACGAGTTCCCGTTCATGGCGCTCTATTCACAGCCGCGAACCAATTAACTCCGTTTAAGGGGTCCCACGCCGACGGAACAACAAGTTCCGGGAACGCGGAGGAACTGAGAATTTACTTCGGGGTCTTTTTTTTCTTATTTCTATTGAGGTTTATCACTTGGAATTTGGACACT